CTAATCCGCAGGAAATACCATCTTTGCTAACCCAGGAACAACTTATTTAATACCAAAGGATCAAAATAACACCGAAGATCCAATTAGGCATTGCCCAATTACTTATCTTCCAACTCTGTATAATTTGGTTACATTATGTGTAGCTCGCCGTATCTACCAACACTGTGCAATATCATAGAGCCTCAACAGAAATGATCCGCAAAGGATTCCATGAGCTGCTAAGAACAACTTATATATAGTATATTAGATAGGTATGATGTTTGCCTACCTATAATCAAAACTTTTATCCAACTTAAATCAATCTCAAACAATCATTCTTCTAGAATTTTCCAACAAACCTTCAGGATACATAACACTTTAATCCCAACATATTGATGGTTCCTACTGTTATAATTAAACAAATTTTAACATATTGAATTATATACAATGTTGACTACTATCACATTTAGCAATGTGACTATATAGCACAAACAATAGCAATAAATTTGAGAATGTTTTTTAGACTTCCGTCCAAATGTGTTATTTTAATCAGTTGCTATCAACAATTCTTCATAAGACACTTCGTCTAAGGACCTAGCAACTCCAGTGTTAGTGTCCTACGTTATCATAAAGTCAATTGCGTCCATAAATTAAACATCCTAGATGATTATCAGCAAAAATGTTATCTAAAATTAATTTAACTATATTTAAAGGGTTTTTACTCAGGTATTTAGTGGCTTCAAACAAGTAAACCTAGTGAGTATTAAACAATATTTTTGTTATAACATAAGTGAGATTTTACATTTGCTTTAATTGAAACGGTAATACTTATTTTAGAAAAAAACACTGATGATGGAATAGTCATTTTGAAAACATTTTTGACTTTATTCAACAAGGTTTTATATTTTTAAACCTGTTATAAAGGATTTTTTTTACTAGAGGAAATTTATTTTCTTGTGAATATAATTATCAGTCAGAATATATGGTTAAAACATCTTTTAGTGAAATCTATAACGTTAAAGTAAACTAGCAGTTTACTTAACAATATGAAAATAAATCAAAACGCATACAAAGATCAAAATAGAAGCAAAGACCAACCCACGGTTACAAGGCCAAAATAAGAAGATTATTATTACACAGATAACTTGTTAGTTTAACATTTACAAGTATTATACAGTGCGACTAATAATTTTATTTAATTTTAATCGCGCGTGGAAGACCTGTGCTAAACTTTTTATTTAATAATAACTTAATGTTCTGACTAAAAGCTTGACATCATTTGATAATCTAATAACAAATTTATCTCTTTGTAAAAGACACTTTCATAGACATGCCGACATGGACGTTGTCTCTTATTAAATTATTCGAGTAAAGCGTTAAAGGCGCATATTGTTTGTTAAGTGCGATGTCTTTGTGCTATTTTATAATATGAAATTTTCGTAATCGTGAACAGAATATATTTTGAATGAAACAATGGAACTAATCAGACGACTAAATTACAACTATACAGGGTGCGTCAAATATCTGGCTTTCTTTGATTACGGCAAAACTATGGAGTATATGAAAAATATTTTAAACAAAACTGATCAAAGACTCTATAATTTAATTTTCGATTATACAGGGTCAGTCAGAACAACGGAAATAACCAATTTTTTTTAATAGAATACCTGTATATTAAACCATTTTTGAATGTATGTTTCACAAATATGAAGAGTTTGTTTTTCCGGGTGAGATCTCAGGAGAATACCATTACAGGTTAGAAACATTAGGATTGGGTCTTGGAATCTTGGAAGTCTTACAGGTAATAGTGTGGCGTTAGTAGATACGCTTAAAAGAAGGAGCGTACAAATTGCTTGTATTCAAGAAATTAGGTGGAAAGGAAACATCCGCAAACTGTGTGACATATAATAAGCACAATATAATGCTTATATTACTGCAATACAAGAAGTACAATGGACAGGCCATGGCATAATCCAAATAGCAAACTACAATATATACTATAGTTGACATAGAACCAGACATGAATTTGAGACAGCCTTTATAGTCAATATTAAAGTCAAGCACTTGGTTATAGATTTTAAGCTGATAAATCTGCGAATGAACCGCTTAAGGATCAGGACAAGTTTTTAATATTAGCCTTATTAATGTACCTCCCCAACAGAGGACAAGAAAGACGAAGAAGAAGACAATTTCTATGATGAATTAAAAAAACATATGACAATTGTTTCAGAAATGACAGTAAAATAGTTATCGGTGATCTGAATGCAAAAATCGGAAGGGAAGAAATATATCTACCGCACATTAGTAAATATAGTCTCCATAATAATACTAATTCGAATGGACACCGAGCAGTCACCTTCGCAGCCTCAAAGAACATGATCACATGTTTTCTACACAAAAAATACATATGGGGACTTGGACCTCGCCTGATGGATTAACGAACAACCAAATTGATCATGTGATCATAGATGCTAGACACTCCAACCTTATGGATGTCTGCACCTATCGAGGCGCCAATATTGATTCAGATCATTTTCTAGTTAAACTTTGATGGTATACAAGGCAACTATCGAACACAGAACACAGAAGCCGGAGACAGATTCTGTCTCCGGCTTCCATATAACATGTAGCTTCTCCTTTTTAAAAATTTTAAAGTGTTTGTTTGTCTTTGTGTATTGTATTGTTATGTCCAAATTTACATGTATGACATTCTACTCATGTCGGATAGGCCACAACTGACGAAATGCCCCTGAAGATGATCTATTGATCGAAAGTACTTGGGCAAGATTTAATTAATTACTGTGTTCGATAGTTGCCTTGTATACCATCAAAGTTTAATTATTCGAACATTCAACCTTATATTGATTCATTTTCTAGTTGTCACAAAAATTTGGGCTAGAATCTCAAATGCAAAGAAGAAAAGAAGTACCAAAACAAGGCACCTTATTGAACTCCTCAAAAATCCGCAAACGATAGAAAGATTTCAAAACGATATCAAAATTAATACATAACTAAAAAGAATCTAACAATTAGTGAACAATGGGAAATGTGTGAAAATTATATTATAGAAATTTCTAGGGCCGCAAAGACCAGCACCACGGAATGAGTGGTTCGATGCTGAGTGCGAGGACATTACAAGAAGAAATAACAACGAATATAAACTGATACAGGAAAGAAGAATCCGAGAAAACGAACAGAAATATAAAGATCTCAGAAGAAAAGATAAGTACATCCATTGGAGAAAAAGCGAACTTAGAAAAATAAAATAATGGAAGAACTTGAGGCATTAAAAAAGAAAAATAACACAAGAAAATTCTATAAAAATCTAAAGAATACAATAAAATAATTTAAACCAATGATCGGACTATGTAATCATAAGGAGGGGCATATCTTAATAAAAAAGAAGAAGTATTGAAGAGGTGAGTGGAATACTATAAAGAACTACTTACTATAGAAGTAGAAGATTCAAATCAACCACCCCCAGAAACAAGCAATGGAGCCTCCATCAGTTTAAGAAGTACAGGATGCAATAAAACACCTAAAAAATGATAAATCTCCAGGAAGTGGTGGTATATCCGAGGAACTTATTCAATATGGAGGTACTGCTCTGACTAATCATACATAAATAATCTTACTGGAGCCTGAAAAGAGGAACAAATCCCTGAAGAGTGGTGTATAAGGATCGTTTGCTTGCTACACAAAAAGGGTGATCAATTGGAATTGAGAAACTATAAAGGAACAACCCTCCTTAATATAGCATACAAAAGATTTTCGAGTATTTTATACGATTGCCTAAGTGCATATTCAAAGGAGCTTCTTGGCGAATAGTGGTTTTAGGCCTGGTCGATCAACAACAGACTAGATCTTTGTGCTAAGACACACACCATATTTTCGTAGATTTTAAATCGCCGATAGTGTCCTAAGATATCAATTGTATGAAGCGATGGATGAATTCTACATTCCCGATAAACTGATAAGATTGGTTAAGGCTACAATGCGTAAAGTTGTTTGCAAAGTCGAAATACAGGGCGAACAATAACAGGCATTTATAACGCACGTTGGGCTTCGATAGGGAGATGCGCTGACGTGTCTGCTTTTCAACATAGCTCTGAAAAAGGCGGTGAGGGATGCCCAAATAGACAGCAGAGGAAACATTTTTAATAAATCATCCCAAATTTTGGCATATGCAGATGAAGTTGATCTAGTTGCCCGCACAACACGCAAGCTAGAAGAAATGTATACCAACTTATCAAATGCCGCAAAAAATATGGGCATGTAAGTAAATGATGAAAAAACTAAGATAATGACATCAACACCCGACAATAGAGCCAGAAATATCGGCCACCAATTCACGGTTGATAACTCTACCTTTGAAGTGGTGTACAAATTGGATTGAGTAGACATATGAAAAGCAGAAACTTAAGACAAAAAACAAAAATAACCCTATACAACACCCTTATACAACCAGTGTTGACATATATATCGGATACATGGACCATTTCCAAGGCAGATGAAAACCTCCTGCTTATGTTTGAACGTAGGATCCTGAGAAAAATATTCGGTGGCATCTGTGAAAATGGTGTTTGAAGAAGGAGAACTACGAGATATTTCACAGATATAAACATATATTTGGTAATAAAGACGTAGTATCTCTTATAAGAATAGCAAGACTAAGATGGGCAGGACAACTGACAAGATCACAACAAAACAACCTCCCTAAAAGAATCTTTAGGTCACAACCTGTAGGAATTAGAAGTAGGGGTAGGCCAAAACTCAGATGGAGGGATGGTGTTGATGAGGATGATAGAAAATTGGCGCAGAAAACTGGCAACAGTTGGCAATGGATAGAACTGACCAATGTAATAGACTTGGGAAGGTCGAGGCTCTTTTATAGGGCTGTAGTACCAATAATGATGATGAGGTGGAAAGGTCAAAGAGCAAAAGAATTAGGTGAAGGATACAAGTTGTGATATGTAAAAGTAACACTTGAAATGGAGTTGGAATAATTGCCGATAAAGTAAATGAAAGATAACGTAATAGAAGTTGTAAGAACGAGTGATAGAATAATGTGCATAAGAAGTATTATAGCTGTATGCGTGTATGCTCCTCAAACAGGGCTGGATGAGAATGAAAGAAACGCTTTCTATGACCAATTGGGAGACATATTGAGTGATATTCCATCAGAGGACAAAGTTATAATAGAGATAATTTTAAAGCACATGTGGGCCAATCCAAGTTAGGATATGAATTAATACATGAAGACTAAAATTTGGAACTAGAAATGAAGCTGGGAATGACATGCTTGAATTAGCAACAGCGCTATGTATGACCATTGCTTACACATTCTTTTAAAAGAGAGAATCTCAACTTGTTACATACAAAAGTGGACAAAATCAATCCCAAATAGATTGATTTATTTCAAGAGAATAAGATATACATGAATGTAAGAACTGCAATAGTTAGTGAGACAGTAAGCCAACAACATAAGTTGCTTGTACTGGACATCGAAGTAAAAAGGCGAAACCAAACCAAAATGTCTGAAAAGACGAGAAAGAGGGAAAAAATATTAGAAAAAATGTGTTGGAATATAAAAGTGATGGTCTAACGAAGTTCAAGAAAAAATAAGAGATATAAAACAAATAAATAATTCTAAATGTATAGGCTGAGAAATCTGTTAAGTCTCCCTAAATACTACAGTAATATTATCATTAAATTTTGCTTAGGTATATTTGTATATATTTGTCTTAAAATAAATTATACAAACTTTTATTTAAAGCTTAATGTATTTTGTAATCTTTTTTTTGCTGTAAAATTTTCATACCTAGAGCTATTTATTTATTAAAAAACATAATGATTGTACTGCTAACTAGAAAATGTATTTCTAACAATAATATACTAGTACTTATGTATGTCATTAAGTTCAGCGTTCTCCCTGTAAACATTCTGTACATATTCATTATTATTAACATCAACATTTCGACCTATTTTGCAATCACAAAATACAATAATGCTGAATATTAGTCCAGGACTCTAGTAGAGATAAACAGCCAATAACAAACAAAAAGCTTTGGTAATCTGGATTTCTCTACATTCGGCTTCGTTTGAATATACATCGACGAAACAGCTGGCACAGTGTGCAACAAAATGTTACAAATGATAACATAAATATAGCTTAATGAATAAAATTACCCTAATTAATTAACCTTAATAAAAACTAAGTAAGTATTTTTTCACTTAACAAACAAATAATTTGTTTTATTAAAATTTCAAAACATATGGGTCTAATTTACTAATCGTTTTCTATATAAAAGGAGATAGAATTAACCTAAAAAATTATAGACCTATTGGCCTGGTAAACCACAAATACAAGCTTATCACTAGGTTTGTGACATCAAGACTGAAAAAAAATTCAATTTCTACCAACCGAGAGAGCAGGTTGAATTCCGTTCAAATTATGGTACCAATGATCATCTCCATACAGTAAAGACCTCTTGTACTCACTTTCATGGATTTTCGTAAAGCATTCGACACGACCAAAATAGACAGCCTTATAGAAGCAATGAGTGACAGCAAGATTGATTATAGGTATAGTAAATTTATTTACAATATTTACAAAATACCACTACGACTGTTAAAATACACGATAAAACCCGACCAATAAAAATAAAACGTGGGATGGAGCAAGAAGATATCGTCATCATCAACTAGCCTCTAACGTCCACTGCTGAACATAGGCCTCTCGCATGCTTTTCCACTTAGTCCGATTTTGCGCCATCTGAATCCAATTTGTAGTCACTCTTTTTATGTCATCTGTCCATCTCGTTGGGGGTCGACCTCTATTTCTGTAAGCTTGTATTCGGGGTCTCCATTCCAAAATTCTTTTTGTCCACCGGTCATCAACTGATCTTGCTACATGACCTGCCCAGTTCCACTTTAGTGTTGTTATCCTTTCAATAACGTCTGCTACTCCTGATCTTTTGCGTATAGTAGCATTGGGTATTCTATCACGTAGAGAAATCCCTAACATAATTCTCTCCATTGCTCTTTCCGCAACTTGTAGTTTACTCACTGTTGTTCTTGTGAGCGTTAGGGTTTCTGCGCCGTAGGTCATCACTGGCAAAATACATTGATTAAATACTTTTCTTTTCAGACACATTGGAATCTTAGACCTAAAAATATCCTTCATCCTTCCAAATGCAGCCCAAGCGAGGTTTATTCTTCTTTTCAGCTCGATTGTTTGGTTGTCTCGACTTATTCTGATCTCATGGCCTAAGTATTTATAGGAGTCAACTGGCTCAATATCTTTGTCTTCTACTGAGATGTTTTTGTTGTGGACTAAATTTGTCATAAATTGTGTTTTTGAAAAATTTATTTTAAGACCAACTCTTTTTGTGGCAGTATGGAGTTCTTGGAGCATTATCTGTGCCTGATCAAAGCTGTCTGCAATAAGAACGATATCATCTGCAAATTTAAGGTTATTTAAAAATTTTCCATCTACATTGATGCCCTTTTCGTTCCAATCTATTGTTTTACAAGCGTATTCTAGCAAAGTTGTAAATAATTTAGGAGACATGTTGTCTCCTTGCCGAACGCCTCTTTCAATACGAAAAGTCCCAGTATCTTCATTAAGTCTTACACAGGCTGTAGCATGTTGATAGATGTATCTGATGAGAGATATGTATCGGTGATCTATTCTACATTGTGTTAGAGCTTGGAGCATTTCACTTTGATTGATCGTATCAAATGCTTTTTCAAAGTCGACAAAGACAAGTATCAGGGGTCTATTATATTCAATGGTTTTTTCAATCAACGACTTAATGGTTTGCAAATGATCATTTGTTCCGTATCCAGCTCTAAATCCTGCTTGCTCGCAAGGTTGATAGAAGTCTAGTTTTGATGTCAACCTATTAGTTATTATCTTCATAAACAACTTATAAACGTGAGATAACAAGCTAATAGGTCTATAGTTCTTTAGCTCTGTTATATCTCCCTTTTTGTGCATGACTACTATAACAGCTTTATTCCACTGAGATGGTGTAATCTCTTTTGAAAGGCATAAGTTATATAATTGCGTCAATGCTTTCAATACTGTCTTTCCTCCTGCTTTAACTGCCTCAATAACGATTTGATCATCACCAGCTGCTTTATTGTTTTTCATTCTATTTAATGACTTTAAGACTTCTTCGATTGTTATTTCTGGGATATCTTCTGAACCCACATTCTGGACTTTTCTCAACTTGATGCCGTCTTTCTTCCCCCTTTCTCTATATAATTCGGTGTAAAATTCTTCAACTACCTTAATTATCTTATCTTTATCTGTTACCACTTTTCCATTTCGATCTGCGAGCTTAACAATGTTCTTCTTACCTAGAGCTTGACATCTCTTCAGCACCTTTAAACTCTTATTTTTCTCGACAACCGTTGTAATCTTTTTTGTGTTATATTGTCGTACGTCCTTTCTCACTGCTTTATTAATATCTTTATTAAGTTGTTGTAGTACGCGTGCATTCGTATTGTTTTTGTTCTTAAGTTCTCTTCGTGCCTCCATAAGTCTTTTTGTTTCTTGACTGAGCTTTACCTCCTTATCTCTCCTAGAATTTGTATTGCACTTTTTCTCTGCGTTCTTAATAGCTTTTATTAAGTTATCATTTAAGGTTTTGATATCCATAACGTCTATATTTGTTGTCTCTAGACATCTCAGAATTTCCTCTTCGAAGGACATGGTGTTTTCGATTGGATTCCACTCCATTGTCACCTAAATTATTTATAACGGCATTAGAGTATGCCTTTAAGATGGTGAATTGGGACCACCGAGAAACAACCACTGAAAAGCTTAACCATCTCTGGTTTGCAGATGCCATTGTCCTTATCACAGACAATTAAGGAGCAGCCACAGATGTGTTAAATCAATTGGACTTTGCTTGTTCTAAGGTGGGCTTCCGAATGAACTTGACCAAAACTAAGTTTATGACAAATATGGTCCCTAATAGTCATTTACCTATTCAAGACAAAGTGGTAGAACTGGTGGAAAAATAAAGTATTCAGGTCATGAAATAAGATTTATCAGAGATAACCAAGAATGCGAAATCCAAATACGAATTACTTTAGCGTGGGTAGCCTTTACAAAACTGCAAGGCACACTTACGGCACACAAATCAATTAGCCTCAAAAGAAAATATTTGACCAATGCGTATTACTGGTCACGACTATGGTGAAGAAACTATGACTCTAATACAAATTTAATATATGCAATATTTTAAAACCACCTACACGTTGGACTGACGTCATCAGGCGTATCACCAAAAATAAAAGAACACAAAATCGTAAAGAACGAAGGAATTTATGGAAGGCCTATTTCCAGCAGTAGACTTGATTTATAAAGGCTGGATGACGATGAATAAGTGTAAAAATATAAAATCAAAAAGGTACCCTAGAAATAGATTAATAGACAAGTCGATCTTTTTTTTATAAATTGAAACTATCGTCAAAACGAAAGATGTACAAGGAATGACAAACAAAAATGATAATATCATGAAAGCTCAAATACACCTAGCACCAGAAGAAGCAATAGAAAGGGAAAATGGTACAAATAAATTATCCATACAAAAAAAATCTATTGGTGGACAACAAAGATAGAAAACCAAAGAAAAAAGAAGATCAAGGCAAACGTATAAAATATAAAAGAAATAAGAGCAGTTAAACCTTTTTTGTCAAAAATATAAGATCTAGACAGCTTAATGAAAAGCTGAAAAGCAAGGCAGCCATCAAAAACGTACAAGAACTTTACACGGAATACCATAAAAATGGTAAAGATGAAACCAATACAAATGGGCAAGAGGGTATAATACTACTTAGATGTATTGTGAAAAAAGATATCTATATACTTTGCCAACTACAAATTTAGAAACATACTAACATATATTTCAGATATATATGAAAACGAAATTAGAAATTCACGTAAAAGGATGAAAAATATCAAGAATTTTGCCTTGGAAATATACCGGTAGAACTGCTAAAACACATCACTTTGGTCTTAAGTCATCATACAATAAAACAAATATTTAACAAACGCTTATTTAATGAAAATATACGGAAAGAATGAAGAAAAAAAAGAATACTTAAGCTCCATACATAAAAAGCGAGACAAAAAAGACCCCAATAAGTGTAGGTTGTACGTAAAATCAATAAAAAAAGGAAGATATTTTTGTGTCTTTAAATATATTAGAGATATATTTTTATA